CCTCACCTGCCACCTCGGTCCCCTCCCCTCGACGACGTGGAGGGGGTGGGATGCCTGTTTGTAGGCAGTGTCTCCCCCCTGCAGCCTCCTCTGGCCCCTGACCTCTGCACCTCTGACCTTTGTGCCCCCTGACCCCCATGCCCCGACATCTGCAACCCCAGGCTGAGCAGCTCCACCGAGCAGAGCACCTCGTCCCGACTTATCCGGAAGCACAAGCGGCGGCGGCGGAAGCAGCGCCTGCGGCAGGCGGACCGCGTGGGTAGCAGGCGGGAGGGGGGCGGGGTCTGTGCTGCCAGCACCGCCCTCACCTGCGCCCGCCCCGCAGGCCTCGTCCTTCAGCAGCATCACCGACTCCACCATGTCCCTGAATATCATCACCGTCACGCTCAACATGGGTGAGGTGCCCGGTGCCCGGGGCGGCGTGGGGTCCGGGGCTGTGGGGGCCCTGGGCTGGGCTGCTGACTGCTCCCCCCCCCCCCCAGAGAGGCACCACTTCCTGGGCATCAGCATCGTGGGCCAGAGCAACGACCGGGGGGACGGGGGCATCTACATCGGCTCCATCATGAAGGGCGGGGCGGTGGCTGCCGATGGCCGCATCGAGCCCGGGGACATGCTGCTGCAGGTGGGGCACCGGCACCGGCACCGGGACCGGCTGGGGAGCCAGGAGGTCAGCACCCCCACCCACCGCCCTGAACCCCTGTCCCCCAGGTGAACGATGTCAACTTTGAGAACATGAGCAACGACGATGCCGTGCGCGTGCTGCGGGAGATTGTGTCCCAGACGGGGTGAGGCGTGGGGGACACGGGGGGCGGGGGGACAGGTGGGGGACACAGGCCTTGACGGTCACATGGGGCCTCGCACACATGACCGGCCGTTCCTGCCCTGCAGGCCCATCAGCCTCACGGTGGCCAAGTGCTGGGACCCAACCCCCCGGAGCTACTTCACCGTCCCCAGGGGTGAGTGATCATGGACTGGCGGGTGGGGGTGGGGTGGGAGTGGGGCGCCCAGCCCAGCCTGAGCGCCTCTCTCCTCTGCCCTGTGCTCCACGTCCTCCCCATCTGTCCGTCTTTCTGTCTGTTGCCGTGCGGCGGCCCCCCAGCTGACCCTGTTCGGCCCATCGACCCGGCCGCCTGGCTATCCCACACGGCGGCGCTGACCGGAGCCCTGCCCCGCTACGGTACGAGCCCTTGCTCCAGCGCCGTCACTCGCACCAGCTCCTCCTCACTAACCAGCTCTGTGCCCGGCGCCCCACGTAAGTGGCAGCTCTTAGCTCAGGGAACTGAGGCACCAGGACCAGGCCGAGGTGCCACCTGGCGCGGTCCCACCCGAGGGCCCTGCCAGCCTCAGCGTCCTGCTGCTGTGGCCCCTGCGGTCGGAGGCAGGGCCGACAGGTGGCCTCCGGCCCATGCTCCTCCCATGCACGTCCTGTGCGGTGGGGGTGGAGGTGCCCTAGGGGCCGAGCCAGCCTGCGTCCCTGCCCAGGGTCTTCTGTGGCAGGGTAGGCCACTGCGTGCCCGGGTGTGTGCATGTGTGTGCGTGGGTGTGTGCATGTGCGTGCATGTGTGCATGTGCACGCGCACATGTAGGTGTGCACATGTGTGTGCATGCCTGCGTGGAGCCCCATCTGCTTTCTGCCTCTAACACGACTGACAGCCTGAGGAAGGGGGGGGGGGGCTGATGTCCGCGCGCGGCTGTGGTGGGGGCGGCCTCACCCTGGTTCGTGCCCAGATCCTATGGAAGCACCTACAGGAGGAGGAGACTGCCCCCCCCTCGCCTGGGGGTCTCCACGGCACCGGCCTCGGAGGGGGTGCAGTGGGCACCGTGGGCGGTGGCCTGTCCATTAAGGAGGGGCGTGCCTTGCAGAGCTGGAGGAGGCGCCGCTGACGGTGAAGAGTGACATGGGCGCCGTGGTCCGGGCCATGCAGCTGCCCGACTCGGGGCTGGAGATCCGCGACCGCATGTGGCTCAAGATCACCATCGCCAACGCCGTCATCGGTGAGTGGTCGCTGGATGCCGGGGCGGTGCAGGCGGTGTGCACACATTGCACACACACATATGTGCACACACACGCAAACATGCATGCACCCACATGCACGGCTGGACCCCTGCCTGACGCGAGCCTCCGCAGGTGCGGACGTGGTGGACTGGCTGTACACGCACGTGGAGGGCTTCAAGGAGCGGCGCGAGGCGCGCAAGTACGCCAGCAGCATGCTGAAGCGCGGCTTCCTGCGGCACACCGTGAACAAGGTCACCTTCTCCGAGCAGTGCTACTACGTCTTCGGGGACCTGTGCAGCAGTGAGTGGGGCTGGGGGCCCGAGGTCCCTGGGGGGCCTGCCCACACCACCCTCACTCGCCCTCCCCTCTTGCCAGATCTCGAGGCCCTGAACCTCAACAGCGGCTCCAGCGGGGCCTCGGATCAGGACACATTGGCCCCGCTGCCCCACCCGGCTCCCTGGCCCCTGGGGCAGGGCTACCCCTATCAGTACCCAGGGCCTCCGCCCTGCTTCCCGCCCGCGTACCAGGACCCTGGCTTCAGCTACGGCAGTGGCAGTGCTGGGAGTCAGCAGAGTGAAGGTGAGAGCCTGCCCACTGGTGCCCGCTCCCTACTGCCTGCTGCCTGCATGCCCGCCCCTCTGCCCTGCGTGCCTGCCCCTCTGCCCTGTGTGCCCGCCCCTCTCCCCTACGTGCCCGCCTGCTCTGTGCTTGGAGTTCGGGTGGGCTCCCTTTGTAAGGGATGAGTGGTGGAGGGAGGTGGGGAGGAGGAACCTGGAGGCTCTGGGGGTGGTGGGGCAGAGGCAGGAAACCAGGAGATGGTGAGGGAAGGGCAGGTGGTGGCCTGGGCTGGGGGAGTGCAGAGGGGCCCCAGAACATAGTGGAGGACAGACAGCTGGGAGCCAGAGGCAGCCCGTCACCAGTAACCATGTCCCCACACGGCATGTGGGGAGCTGAGGACATGGGTTGGGGACGTTCCATGAGGAAAACTGGCCTGAAGCTGCGTGGAGGCCAGTGAGGCCGGTGGGCATGCCTGACCCAGGCAGGAGAGGCCGGTGCCGGAGGGGAGGCCGTGGCGGGCATGTCGGGTAGGAGAGCAGGCGGCGTGGGGGCCGGGCCGGGCCTGGTGTGTAACTCGTGCTATCCCTTGCTTTGTGCTGAGCAAGCCTTAGACTGAAGGACTAGCGGATGGACCCTCGGGGCCGGTAAGCCAGGGCCCTGCCCGGCCTCCCTCTTGGCGTGTCCCTCGCCGGCCGGCACCCTCGGGTTCCCGGCATTTGTGAGAACCCGGGACAGGGCTGAGCCGAGCCGTTAGCCAGGGCCCCAGGGTCCGATGGAAGGTGGGTCTCAGGGTGGGGGGCCCAGGTTGGCCAATGGGAGCCGGCACACGGGGTCTCACGGGTGCCTCGGTTTCTCAGGGGCAAGACCAGGCCCTCGGTGCAGGCTTTGGAGTGAGGTGTGGGGGCACCAAGCTGGCCCCAGTGTCCCTGCCTGCCCCCCCCCCCCCCCCCCCGCCTGCTGCAGCTGTGCCTGCGTCTCTGGGCGGGTTTGCTCCTGCCCTGGTGTCTGCATGGCTGCCCCTCTCCCTCCCCGCTCGGGACCGCCAGGCCCTGCCTGGGTGCCGGGCAGTGGTCAGTTCTGGGAGAGGCCGGCCTGGCACTGACAAGCCATTCCTTCCCTTTCTCCATCTCAGGAAGCAAAAGCAGCGGGTCCACGCGGAGCGCGGGCGGGAGCAGCCGGCGGGCCCTGGGCCGCGAGCAGGAGCACCAGAGGCCCCGAGCCGGGGGCAGTGGTAGCGAGTCCGACCACACGGCCCCCAGCAGGGCAGGGGGCGGCGGCTGGTGGGAGCGTCCCGCCAGCCAGCTCAGCCGTGGGAGCAGCCCGCACAGCCAGGCCTCCACCACGGCCCCGGGGCTCCCCCCGTTGCACCCTCTGACAAAGGCGTACTCGGTGGTGGGCGGGCCGCCTGGGGGGCCCCCCGTCCGGGAGCTGGCCGCTGTCCCCCCAGAGCTGACAGGCAGCCGCCAGTCCTTCCAGAAGGCCATGGGGAACCCCTGCGAGTTCTTCGTCGACATCATGTGACCGAGGACGGGTGCCTTCCTCCGAGCGGCCGTGCGGTGGGGGCACGGGGGTCCTGCTTCCCCCAGGAGCTTGTGTGGCCTCGCCTTAGCTGTGGCCGTCAGGGGTCAGGCAGCTTTCCACGTGCACCAGGGGCCGTGCTGTGGGGTCTGGGCTGGACAGAGTGGGGGCAGGCTGGAGGGCTGGGGGGCACGTGGCCCGAGCCCCCTTATTTGGCCTCAGCAGCCCGTCTGTCCCTGGTCTGAGCAGCTGTGTCCATGTGGACCTGGGGGCCTCTGTGTCCATGCGGACCTGCCCTGCCCGGTGGCACGGGCCTCAGGGGCCCCCGTATGCCCATAGCACTGCATACAGGTCCCCAGGCCAAGCTGAGAGGTGGCTGCTGGGCCTGGTCGCTATGGTCACCCAGTGTGCAGGCCCTAGGCCTCTTGCTCAGACGGGGGGGGGGGGCCATGTTGGGGGTGGACGGGAGCCCCCAGACCTCCCTGGCTGCCTGGGTCGGGGTGTAATTTATTTATTTATTTCTTGGCCTGAGTCCTGTGGGAGGTGGTGGCCAGGTCAGCCCCGCACCAGCTGGAGCAGAGCTGTGTCCCCCACCGCCAGGTCTGAGAGAACGCAGAGACACAGGGAGTGTCTGACAGTGGGGGGGCCAGTGAGGGGGAGACGGCAGGGGCACATCTCAGCACGGGAGGAGTGGACTGTGGCCCACGGATGCTCAGCTGCTGCAGGGACAGGTCTGGGGAGAGGGGCCAGCCCGCCCTCCCTGCTGACCTCAGGTGGCCCCTTCCTCCCCTCCCCCACACGCTTCCTCCCAGTGAACTGGCCTGCACGTGTCTGCAATGTGGATACCGTATCGCGTCTGCGGTGTAGATACTGTACCGAGTCAGAGGTCGTCGGGATAGTTGATAGAGCTGCTTCTGTGTAAACGCTATTTTAAACACTAAAAAGCATTTAATTTTATGGGACTGGCGCGTGGCCTGTGTCTCTTTTCTCCTGCCAGCTCCCCTGGTAGGTTGGGGTGGGGCTGGTCTAGCCGTTTGGCAAGGTCCTGGCGGGGCGTCTTCTGTCCGTGGTGCTGGCTTCTGGCTCCAGGGGTCCTGGCGGCGGGCGCTGGCCTTGGTCCTGAATCCCCCCTCCCCCCGCGCGCCAGGCTCTGTCCGCGGTGCTGGCGGTGGGCTGACCCCACTCTACCCGCTCCGGCCAAGACAGGGAGAGAGAAGGAAGCTGGTGCCCGCCCCAAGTGGCCTCTGTCCTGCACGGGGGCCCATGGTTAGGGCGGCTGTAGCCACTCGCCCACCTCCCACTCCAGTGGTGGTTGGAGGGGTGCTGGGGGGGGGGGGCGCCTAGGCCAGGCCCCGCTGGTGAGTCATGCCCAGCTTGACCTGCAGGTGGCCCAGCTGTGGGCTTCCCGGAGTCCCCAGTGTGGGTTGGGCCTGAGGAGCCCTCTATTGGCGTCTTCCCAGCAGGGTCACTGGGCAGGCCTTGACGGACAGGACAGCCTGACTCTGGTGATATCTCACAGGGCCCAGCGCAGGCCCAGGGGTCATTGGGTCACGGGCAGCAGGCAGCCTGGGGTCAGGGCCTAGAGGTGGGCCTGCAGGTTGCTCTGCAGTAACTAGGTCTGGGTGCACTGGGGTGAGGTCGCTGGGTCATGGGCTCCACCCCTGCTGCCACCCAGCCCACTGGCACTGCCAGGACCCCCTCCCAGGAAGAACTCGGGGGGGTTGCCCGCCGGCTGCCGCAGCAGCAGGTAGCACTTGGGCAGGTGGAAGGTGGCCAGGATGCCCAGGACGCAGAGGAGGCTGGTGCCCATCTGTACGGCGGGCTGGTAGGCCACGTGCACGTTGGTGAAGAGGGGCACAAAGGAGACCCAGGTGATGAAGTAGGCCAGCATGGCGAAGGCGAGGCTGCGGGCACCGTCGTAGCGGCCTGGCTGGCGGTGCACCAGGAAGGTGCCTAGGAAGCAGAGTGAGGCCAGCACGCCGGGGGCGGCGTGCACCAGGCCAAAGCCCACCCAGGAGTGCACCCGGCAGCGCACCAGCACCTCCGTGGGCAGCACCTGCCAGTCCATCGCCACCTCCGGCGGGAAGGCCGCCAGGTACCAGGTGCACAGCGCCGCCTCCACCAGCACGGCCAGCAGCACCGCCAGCCAGGCCCGCGGCCCCTGCAGGTGCCCGCGCAGCCGGTCTGCCCAGCTGGGCGGCAGCTCCGCCTCCACAAAGATCTCGGCCGCCTGCAGGAAGAGGGTGCTCAGGCAGCCCGTGAGTGGGAGGTGCAGCAGCGGCTGCTGGGCCAGGCAGCCGGCGGGACTGGGCCAGCCGGGCAGCAGGAGGACGCTGAGGCAGACCAGGCCCAGGCAGGCCAGGCCAAAGCAGGCCCGCGGCCCGCCCGAGGCCTGCACCAGGGGGCTGTCCCGGTGCCGGACGAAAAGCCCCAGGGCCGCCAGCACCAGGCCCAGCGCCAGGCCCAGCAGCGCGAGCAGCAGCACCACGGTCGGTTCGCCCCAGGCCAGGCACCTGGGCCTGCGGGGGAAGCAGTGCAGGCTCCTGTCGGGGGACCACTGGTCCTGGGCGCACGGGGTGCAGAAGAGGTCGTCTGTGGGCCGGGAGGAGAGAGGGCACGGCTGGGGCACGGCTCCCCTGGGCTGGCCTCTGCCTCGGGCTCGGCCTGGGTGTCAGCCTCTGAGCCAGGACACGCCAGGACCCTCTTGGCCACGTGTTCCTCACCCGGCAGGACCCTCCCCACACCTGCCTCAGCCACACACACCGGGGGGAGGGGCTGGCCGGGGAGGGGCTGACCTGGGCTGCGCTGGTAGCTGCCGGCCTTGCAGTCCATGCAGTCGTAGCAGCAGGAGTGGAACCCCTTCACCCGGCGGACCTGGCCCTCCTGGCACTGCCTCGAGCACTGGGACACGGGCCTCTGGAGCAGGGTCCTCGGACTCAGGCCTCGCTGGGCTGGGTGCACCCCCAGAGCCTGGGGACGACCCCCCTCGCCCCCTGCTCCTCCCATGGGGCAGGCCTTGCTCCAGAGCGGCTGTGCGGTGGGGACACGGCCGGGCACTCACCACGTTCCCTGGTGTGTGCCAGCGCATCTGGGGCAGCTGCAGCTGCAGGCGGCCATCGAAGCCGCCCACTGTGCGCAGCTCGGGCTCCGGGTCCCGCCACACCCAGAGCTTCAGGTCGTAGCCCGTGTCCACGTTCCCGTTGGCGTCGAACCGCAGCGGCAGGCCGCGCACCCGGAAGCTCATGTTGTACATGTTCTCCAGGAGCTAGCAGGGGTGTGGGGCGGTGGGTGGGGAACGGGGGGCCAGCTACCGGCACCCGGGCCTCCCCTCTCGCCGCCCCTTCTCCTTGGGCACAAGCGGGGTCGGCCCAGCTCCCACGTCCTCACCTGCCAGGGCTGCACAGGTGCCCGTGGGGGGCAGCCCAAGGCGTCGCAGAGCAGCGTGTTGTGCAGGGCCTGGGCCACGCTGTACACGGCCGCGTAGGCTGCGAAGGCCCGGTGGTGCAGGAGGCCGGCAGACACATCCTCCAGCAAGATGCGGTCACACTGCGGGCAGCGGGGCCCAGCCATGTGTCCCTCCAGGTCCGGCTGCCCTGCGTCCAGTGAGGCGCAGAAGGCGGGGTCGGCGGCCAGGGCCAGGCGGGCCTGCACGTAGGACGGGAAATCGGGCATCGGGGCGCCCCGCTGCAGGAAGCCCAGCACTGTGCCCACCTGGGCCAGGCCGGGCAGGGACAGGACCTGGGCCGAGGTCAGCCAGGCCTCGCTGGCCACCCACACCTTGGGCGCGAGCCCAAAGCGGATGCTGAAGCTGAAGAGGGCGCGGGCGGCCCGGGCGGAGGAGAACAGCACCACCACCTGCACGCGGCTCTGGTTCACTTGGTGCAGCAGCCCCTGCACGGCGCCCAGCTGCAGGCCGTGGGCGCCCGCCGCCGGCACCAGGCCCTCGTGGGCGATGCAGATGCCCCGGGCGTTGGCCAGGCTGGAGAAGAGGCTCAGGCCCTGCCGGCCATACTCGTCGTCGCTGCCCACGGCGGCCACCCAGTTCCACTGGAGCGCGTGCAGCAGCTCCACCACGGCGGTCACCTGGACGCGGTCGCTGGGCACCGTGCGGAAGAAGGAGGGGAAGGCCTTCCGGTTGCTCAGCTGGTCCGCACTGGCCCCATAGCTGACCTGCAGCGGCCAGGAGGGGAGGTGTGTCCCGATGGGGGCAGGGGCTCCCTGGGGGGAGGGGTGTGGGGGAGACAGACAGGGGCGCACCTGAGGCATGAGGAAGAAGCCGAAGAGCTTGCCGGTGATGAGGGCGAGCTCCGTGGAGTCGGGCCCGACGACGGCCAGCACGCGGGGCTGGTACCGCGAGTAGTCACAGTAGGCGGCGATGTCGCAGCTGCCCGCCTCGGCCATGAACACCAGGCTGGGCTTCATGGCCACCACGGGCTCCGAGCAGGTGTCAAAGATGTCATGGCCCAGGCGCAGGCCGGGCAGCAGGGCCGACCCCCGGTTGATCTCCTCCACGGCCATCTTCATGGCCAGTGCCCAGAGCAGGCCGAGCGATGAGAACCTGGGGCCACACAGGGTTGCAGGGGACGACACCTTATCCCTCCTGGGAGCGCCCCGCCTGCCCCCTCCCCCCGCTCCCTACCTGGTGCACAGGGTGGTGTTGGGCTGGGTCCTGGGGCCCAGACCCGTGTCCTCGGCGGCGCCCAGGGGGAAGAGCCCCCCCAGCACGTAGTCCCCCTGCATCCTGAGCTGCCGGGACAGACACAGCGGGGCCCCTGCCCCGAGGCCCAGCAGAACCGAGAGGCCCAGCAGAGCCAGGCCGGACATGGCAGTGGTGGCTTCTGATGGGGACGGCCAGTGGGTGGGCCCAGATAGGGTGAGCCAGGCTGGGAGGGGTGGAGGATTTGTTTAGCAAAACCCTCCTCACCTGCCAAGCCCCAGGGGCCCCTGGGCCTGAGGTTTGCACACGTCAGGGTCTGTTATCCTAATGCGACCAGGCCCTCTGGCCGACAGTGACCTGGGCAGGCAGGCTCTGAGCAGCTACTGCCCGTGACCTCATTACCTGCTGGTGCCCAAGCCCCTCACCCCACCCACTCCTGGAGGGGAGGAGGGACACCCAGGATTTCTCTGCCCGCGGGTCCTGGGCTCTCCAGCTGCCTGTGGGAGGGGGTTGGAGCGGCCCCTGCCTCGGGAGTAGGCACAGAACACTGGTCTCTCCCACCCTGGGGAGGGCCATCCGCAGTCAGGAGGGGCTCCATCTGCATCCCAGGGGCAGCCTGAGGGGGGGCCGGGGGGCCCTGCCCACCCACCTGTGGCTGGGGTGGGGCCATGCCTCTCAGCGTGCCTGGGAACTGTGGGGTCTGGGAGGTTCCGCCACCAGGGCTGGTGGCCTGGAAGCTTTGGGAGGCCTGTGGATGGTTGTGCCCTGCCCGGCTCTGGGTACCTGACAGAGCAGGTGCCTCCCTCTGGGGACAGGGCACTCATCTGGGCCCTCAGGGGGTTGCATGCAAAGGAGGGAGAAAAGCTGTAACCAAATGGGCAGCAGCGGCTGAGGCCGCACCAGGTGTGCAGAGGGTGGTGGCAACGCCGTCTCCCCCGCACCCGCACCCAGGCCCCGCTGACCCCGTGCTGGGAGGGGAGGTGCACCCAGAGGAGCTGGGGGAGGGGCTTCAGGCATTTCAGCCCTGGCTGGGCCGGGCAGACGTTTACAGGAAGTGCCTCCACTGGCCTGTGGGGAGGGCCCACACTGCTCGGCACACGCAGGACACGCACATGACACCCACAGGTGCCCCCTCCCCAACAGTGCACTGGACCTGCACACCCATGCTACACGCATGCAGTGCATTTTACATGCACACCCGTGCTACACACACACAGCACGCTGGACCTGCACACCCATGCAGTGGATTCCTGCACCTCCATGCTACACACTGCAATAGATGCGTGCGTGCACCTGCACACACGTGCAGCCTGCGCCCTGGCCCCTGTGGCCCCCGGGCCGTTCTCCCAGCCAGTCCTACAGTCATTGGCCTGTGCTGGCACCACCTGGGCTCGGCTCTGCTTGGTGTGGGAGCAGCAGCAGAGCCGGCACTGCATTGGGGCCCTGATATTGGGGCGCAGTGATCAAGGGGTCCCTCCCGACACTGTGTGGCAGAGCAGCCCCACCCCCCTGGGCCGGCCCAGGCCCCGCCCGCCCAGCTCAGCCCCTCAGGTGCTCTGTCTTCTCACCAATAAAATGATAGTTCTGTGACCTCGATAGAGGTGCGACCATGGTGGGCGGGGCTGACTCTCCCTGTGGCTGCCTGGCCCTGCAGTCCTGGCTGTGGGCTCAGCCGCCCCCTCTCCCTGGTAAGCAGATGCGGGGCACACGCCACACCCCCATCCCGGAGTGCAGAATATGCTTCTGTAACTGTAATTTATTATCACCCGTATTGCAGTGTTCAAGGGTCCCCGCGAGCTCATACTCGTGCTCACACTCGTGTGCGAGCGCTGCACGGCAAAGCTGTGGCACCAGGGTCCTGAGGTTACAGTGAAGAGCCAGTGGGCAGGCCAGGCTGGGTGAGCCCACCTGCCAGCCCGTCAGGCAAGAGGTCCAGGCCCGCTCTGTTGTGCATCCTGGGTCTCTGGGCTCCATGGGGACGGGCAGCACGGGGCAGGGAGAGGGGATGCAGCAGTGCTGGGTGCCAGGGAGGCCAGCGGGCCCAGCAGGCGGGGGCTCCCGGGCTGAGCTGTGCAGACTCACAAGCAGCTGCCTGGGGGAGCAGCGTGGTTGTAGGAGGCTGCAGCCGTGCAGAGCTGGAGGCAGGGCAGCCTGTGCTCCCGCTGCCTTGTGGAGGGTATATGGGCCCCGGCTAAGGAGATGGGGGGCAGGGAACGAGACGCAGTGCTAATGCTGCCCAGGCTCCCTCCCTGCCCCAGGGACAGCCAGCCTGGTTAGAGGGGCCACAGGCAGCCCACCTGCCACCGACACCAGGACCCTGACGGCCGAGCAGCACACTCGCTGATCGTCGGCGGGTGAGGAGTCTGCTCTCCGGGGACCTGGGACTCTCCGGCTTCGCAGACTGGACTCACAGGTGAGGGCAGCCTCTTGGGCTTTGGTGTGAACTCCGATCCTGCCCCACCTTCCCTCCTTCTGCCCTTCACCCGCCCACCCGGCTGGCCGGTGCCCGCCTTCTCCGTCTGCTGCCCACGGGGGCTGCGCCAGGCCCATGGCTCCCCACAAGCTCCGCGGGCGGGGAACAGCGGCGTTTCTGCTCCGGGCGCCCCCAGAAAGCTCCACGGTGGGACTGAGGGGCCCTGGCTGCCCAGCCCGGCTCCGGGGCAGGGGAGCCGGGCCGCTGGCTCCTAGGGCAGGTCCAGCAGGGCGTGCTCGGCGTAGAGCTTCTGCGAGATGTCGTACACGTGCTCGATGAAGGGCAGGGCCTCGCCCAGCATGGCCACGGCTTGCTCAGTGGACCCCACGTTCATGGCCTCCAGGAAGACCTTGCGCGTGGGGAGCGTGCAGAAGGCCACGGTGACGGCCCGGCGGACAATCCAGGGGTGGTAGGCGGCCAGCGAGGCGTTGTAGGAGTCGGTGCAGAGCACGGCGGTGCGCGCGTCCTCGGGGCTGGTGCGCAGGCCCTCCAGGAAGAGCTGCAGCCAGCGCAGCGCCCGGTGCAGCCGAAGCACCGTGCGGCAGCCCGAGTCCGGGTGGCGGGAGCGGCGCTCCAGGTCCACCATCTGGTTGCCCACCTCGTAGGCCACCATGGACTGCAGGCTGCTGTAGTGGTCCCGCTGGGGCCCGCTGCACAGGCGCTCCATCACCTGCAGCTTCGTCACCACGTCCTTGGAGATGAAGGAGAAGATGGCGCCCAGGCTGTTCAGGAACCTGCAAGGGAGGGGAGGCAGACGCTGGGCCCCGCCCCAGGGGCGAGGCCGGGGAAGCCCCACCGGGCACCGGCCCCCACGCACCTGACCAGCCCCCGCCAGCCGGCGAGGTAGTGCTCCAGCAGCACCTCCTCCTTCTCGTTGAGACACTGCTTGAAACTGACCAGGACGACCTTCAGGTTGAAGTCCGACTCCAAGTCGTCCATTTTCACCTGCCCAGAGGTGGGGCTGGGGTTGTCTCCCTGGACTTGGCTCATTCCTTTGGGGGCAGGGCAGGAGCAGGAGAGAAACAGCTGGGGTCCCACTGCTCCCCAAGAGCCCGCCTCACTCTCTGACACCCACCTGACCCTGAACAGGGGCCCACAGACCTCAGCATGGCCTCTCCCTGTCCCTCAGACAGGTATCTCCCGCCGGGTTTCCCTGCTCATTTGGGTGTTGTCCGTCTCTCTCTCACGAGAACGTGGAGAAATACGTGCTGAGTCCCCACCCAGAGCCAGGTGGTCTGGGCACTCGGGTGTCAGTGACAGAGACAAACCGCCCAGCCTCGTCAGGGCAACATTCTAGTGCGGGCGGGTGAGGCAACAATAAAGACGGGAAATCCCGGCAGGGTAATGAGGGGATGAGGAAAAGGACAGTGAAGTGAGGTGCGGTGGCCGGGAGGGGGCTGGGCAGCCTGGCCCTTCCCCCCCACACAGCTGCCCCCACCCTGAAAGCCAGCACCGAGGCTGCAGGTCAGCGTGTGCTGGACGGAGGGGCAGACACCGGTCCTTTCCTGCCCTGGATTCTGCTGCGTTCATACAGTCGCTCCACAAACACCCAAGCACCCACACATCCAGTGGGTGCCACTGAGCACCTCGCACCTGCCTCCCGGGCGCCGAGGGCCGGCATTGAAGTGTGGCTCTCAGCGGCATCTCACCTCAAGTCCGGGACAAGCTCTCACCCCATGGGCCTGGGGGTTCCCCTGCCTTTGGTGCTGGGTGCCCTGCGGGGACCGGGCAAGGGAGGGAGGCCACCCACGCTATGCAGCCAGGAACCGGACATCTGGGCGCCTGTGCAGGCGCTGCCTCCCACTCTGTGGGCAGGTCACTCACCATCCTGACTGGGTCCTTCACCTCTGGGCAAAAAGGGTCAGCACGCCCTGCCCTGTCCACCAGCCAGGCTGACTGGACTCAGTGGGTCTGAGGCCCTGCAGGCCCCAAGGGTGGGGCTGAATGCCTGGCATGGGGTGGAGCCCTCAGAGGTGAGCTCACCCGTCTCAGGTGTGGGGGCAGCCAGGCCAGGCCCCAGGAAGACACATGTCCCTCTGGAGACCCCCAGCACCCCACCCCCAGCGCCTCAGTTGTCTGCCCACTGAGCAGATGGTCTCAGGGCCACCTTCCTGGCCAGAGCCCAGGCCAGCAGCCCACAGGAGCTGCCAGGAGCCTTTCAGAGCCTGGAAGCAGGAAGGGCAGTGCAGCTGAGCGGGGCAGCCGGCCAGCTCTGGAAGGTGGTGCAGGACACGGCCAGGGCTCCCCCAGGGGCACCCTCGGCCCGAGCTCAGCGGGAGGGCGACCGAGCCCCGAATCCTATGGCTGACCGCGGTCTCCGGTCTCCCAGGAGAAGGCAACACCCGCCCCTGCACCCAGGCCCGGAGGGTGGGAGCGAAGTCCGGTCCAGGAAGTCCTGCAAGTCTCGCCCGGGAAAGGGGCGCCGGGTGGCGCCGGGCTCGGGCGGGGTGGGGGCCGTTCCTGGGCAGATGCTGCTCCCGCTGAGGCCCAGGGATGGGGCAGGGTCCCGGGGTGCGGGGTCCCGTGTCCGGGCTGGCGGGGAGCCGGCTCCTCGGCCGCCCCCTCCCGCGCCCGGGGTCCCGCGCCCGCCTCGCAGCGATGCCCAGCCCGCCGGCTCGGCTCCCAGCGCCCACCCGCGCCCGCCGCGCCTACCGCCCGAGCTCACCTGCGATGCCCAGGCTGCCGCCGCCGCCGCCGCCGCCGCCGCCGCCGCCACCGGACCCGCCCCCCCGCCGGGCCGCTCCGGATGGGTCTCCCGCCGCCCAATCAGGATGCGCGGCCCGCACTTCCGGCGGGCGCACCGGAAGTGGGCGCCGTGGAGGCGGGGGTGCGCCTGCGCAGTGCGTCACCGCAAGCCGCGCTCTCGTGTAGCGCTTCGGGTCCCGGCGACCGGGGTCCTGTCCGGCGAGCGCGGAGGCGACAGGCCCGGGAGCGCCGGGCAGGATGCCCGAGATCAGGGTCACGCCCCTGGGTGAGTGAGGGCGCCGGGCGGGCCGGGCGGTGGTCGGCGGGGCCGGGCGCGGGGGCCGCCCTCCCGGACCGCAGCTGTGGCCGCTCGGGGACGGCCTTGGGGCTGCGTCCTGTTCCGCTGCTTTGCTGCGCCCCCAGGTCCTACCAGCGAAATGAGGACGAGGCCGCCGAGGGCCGGGCTGGGCGCACATCCCTCCCTCCGCGCGGGGACGGCCGCTCGCGGCGCCGCTGCACCCGCCCCCCGCCCCCCTCCGCCCGCCGGCTCCGCCTGCCTCGCGCCCGCTCGCCAGCAGGTCCCACCTCCCCAGCCTGGGGGTCCACCCTCAGTCCAGCCCTTGGTTTACTTGACCTCGTGACGTTAAAAAAAATAGCTTTGCTTCTTTTCTTTCTCTTTTTTTAAATATATTTTTATTGATGTCAGAGAGGAAGGGAGAGGGAGAGATAGAAACATCAGTGATGAGAGAGAATAATGGATCAGCTGCCTCCTGCACGCCCCCCACTGGGGATCGAGCCCCCAACCCAGGCCTGTGTCCTTGACCGGAATCGAACCCGGGACCCTTCAGTCTGCAGACCCACGCTCTATCCACTGAGCCACACCGGCCACGGCAATAGCATTGCTTCTTGAAAAAGACATGCATGTGCACGTTTATTTGATTACTCCTCACTTGAGGGTGTTTTTTTTCCGTTGCTTTTTAGTGTGGAAAGGAGGGGAGAGGGAGGGGGAGAGAGACACGCACATTGGCTGGTTGCTACTGGCTGCCTCCCCCGGGACCCCTGCTGGGGCCGGGGTGAACCTGAAACCCAGGTACCTGCCCTTGATCAGGAACCAACCCTGACCCTTCGGTGCTTGGGCCGGTGCTCTAACCCATGAGCAACACCGGCCAGGGCTGCATGTGCACTTTGAAAAGCCTGAACTGTCCAGAACAGTGCAAGGGAGGAAAGGTGACGCAGAGTCCAGGGTTCCAGCAACAAGTGGGGCCGTCGTCTGCCGGCCACCCTCCCGGATTCTCCCGGCATCTCCCCTGCTCGCACCAGGGGCCCTATCCCCGCCCCTGCCTCCTCCACTGGGCTGCGTGTCGGGAGCAGCTCCCCGGACGGTGTCCCACGTACCTCCACGTCCTTGCTCCCTCGGAAGAGTCCTCCCGCCCCCAGTTGGGACGCTGAGCTGTGACTGCCGCATGGCACAGCCAACGCCCCTGCCCCTGCCCTCGTGGGGGGTGTGGGGAGTGCACACACCTCAGTCCACCATGGGCATGTCACACCCACGGCCTCTTGTAGCTGCTGGCGCAGGGCCCCTCCAGCCATTGGCCCCACACCTGCCCCTGCCCCCAGTTCATCTCCAGGGGACTCGGCGGAGCCCTCCCTCCAGCCCCCTTCCCATTGGCCCGTTTTGTCAACAAGCACTCTCCTCCCTCCTCCCTTTTCCTTGCTTCCCTGACCCCAGTCTGCACCTGGGTGGGCCCCCACGGTCACGCAGCCTCGTCACCAAAACGACTTCTCCACGGTCTCTCTTCACCACTTTCTGCCTTGTTTGTGGGCTCCCTGGTCAACCTGGGCCAGGTACAGTCTCCGAAATCACCTGGGCCACAGGGCCTTTGCACACCTGCCTCCCCCCTGCCGTCCCACCCTGCTGGGAAGTCTTGAGCCTGTCATGGTTCTGGAAGTTTCTGTGGCCCCTTCCCTGCCCACCTTACCCTCCTGGCACTCACCTCCACCTGCTGGGCTCGGCGTGTCTCGTCTATGTGCTCACTGTCCGTTTCCTTGCCCGGACCCTGAGCTCCCTGCAGACAGGCGTCTCCTTTCTTTTCTCTTGGGTCCTGCCCCCATGGGTGCCCGGACTCTGTTCCCCACATCTCCCGCCCAGTTACGCTCCCTGAGGTGGTCGTTGGGGGCCGGCCGCCAGGGCCTAGGACAGTGATGGCGAACCTTTTGAGCTCGGCGTGTCAGCGTTTTGAAAAACCCTAACTTCACTCTGGTGCCGTGTCACATATAGAAATTTTTTGATATTTGCAACCATAGTAAAACAAAGACTTCTATTTTTGATATTTATTTTATATATTTAAATGCCATTTAACAAAGAAAAATCAACCAAAAAAATGAGTTCACGTGTCACCTGACACGCGTGTCATAGGTTCGCCATCACTGGCCTAGGAGCTGGGCTCTGGGGTCCGAAGGCCGTCCCTGGCCCATGCTTAGGAGCCATGCGTCAGGGGCAGAGGTGGATCCCACCAGACGGGTGGCCCCTCCCCGCCCACAAATGTCTGGAGGCCTCTGAGCGGGCACGGCAGGGCGCAGACAGTGACCACTGCTCTCGGGCGGCCGTCCTGGTGGAGACAGGAGCCTGTAAGAGACCTCCCGGCCGCCACCTGTGGCTGGGCTGCCTGAGGCTTCACAGAGCTCTTGGCTGGCATCCCTGCTGTTGCCATGGGGATAAGCGTCTCCAGGACCAGTGCCCTCTTGCTCTGGCCATGGTCCTGTCACCTTTGTGTGTGAGGTGCCAGCAGAGGGTCAGTAGCCGGCAGGACGCTGGTCATTTGCTGTTATCAGGCCGTACAAGGTGGTGTCCATTTCCTTCCGGCCCCGAGGCCACAGATGGCCCTAGGAGGTGACCCGGATGTGCCCTGTGGCGGCTGGAGCAGCGGGCAAGGCTGGGCAGTAGGAAGTGGATGGGACTCAGGTTCAGGTCTGGTCACAGCAGGGGGTTGTTGCTGGACAGTTGGGGCCGTGCTTCCCTGTGGCCAGGCCAGAGCCGCCTGGGAGCCTCTGCAGTGGCACCACCAGGAGAAGACCGACCTGGGGGAGGGTCTCAGCCCAGGTTTCAGGAGGAGGGGAGGCCCCCAGCGGGCGTGCCAGCCCAGCACCCGTTCCTCCGCCCTTGGCCTTCAAGCGGGGTGGCGGGGGGGTCACAGCAGGTGGCTGCAGCCTCCTTCCACCCGAGCCTGGGCCTGAGCCTGGGCAGCAGAGGCTGGGCCTGAGGCTGGAGAGAGGGAGGGCCCTCAGGCCAGAACCCACGTGGAGGACTTGGCGCTCTGTCCCCTCCCTGCGCCTTCTCCTTCCTGTCTGCTGTGGGTGTGGCGTGTTCTCGCCTCACATGTTGTCCACGCCGCCGTCATGAAGTCGTTTCCCAGCTGGAGGGCTCTGCAGGCCAGGGGTCCAGTGTGCCCGGGGCCTGGGACAGGCACTGGGCCTTGGCCTTCGGGGAGGGGCAGAGCGGTGGGGGAGGGGAGGGTGTGGCAGCACCTCCCTGGCCCTGTCCCTGCAGGCGCTGGCCAGGACGTGGGCCGGAGCTGCATCCTGGTCTCCATCGGGGGCAAGAACGTCATGCTGGACTGCGGGATGCACATGGGCTACAACGATGACGTGAGTCCGGTGGGCGGGCAGCCGGGGCACCTGTGGGGCTGGGAGGTCCTGCCCCCCAGCCTGGCCCTTGTCGCGGACCTGGGGGACCTGGGTTTCAGGCTCCGACCCATGGGAGGGGGACAGTCTTGGCAAGTGGCAGTGCAGGAGGCAGGTGGGTCTGGGGCCACTGCCTTCCTGGGCAGCCCCCACCACACATGACAGAGGGGGTGTCCTGCAGGGGTCGGTCAGCCCAGAGAAGGGCTTGTGGGCTTCTGCAGGGCTGTGTGTGGTGGGCTGGGCTCGGTTGCTGGCTCTGGCACTTGACCCCTGTGCTCAGAGGCTGTGGGCAGGCAGTGGTCCTGGTGCTGCCGCCGGATCCGGGTGTTGGTGTCCTGCTTCCTGGAGCACTGGCTGCCCCGCCTGTCACCTGAGACCCAGGCAGCCGCTGCCCCGCGACACCCCACAGCCTGCAGCCTCCACAGCCGAGCCGGAAAGGCTCGAAGAAAGGGTTCTGACGCTTTCTCATGATTCCTCAGAGGCGCTTCCCAGACTTCTCCTACATCACCCGCAACGGCCGGCTGACCGACTTCCTGGACTGTGTGATAATCAGGTGGGCGCCTGCCACAGGGCTGGGGGACTGGGCTGTGGTGACAGGGCTGGGGGGGACAGGACTGGGGGACAGGGCTGGGGGACAGGGCTGGGGGACTGGGCTGGGGGACTGGGCTGGGGGACAGGGCTGGGGGACTGGGCTGGGGGACAGGGCTGGGGGGACAGGCCTGTGGTGAGAGGGCTGAGGGACAGGGCTGAGGGACAGGGCTGGGGGACAGGGCTGAGGGACAGGGCTGGGGGACTGGGCTGGGGGACAGGGCTGGGGGACTGGGCTGGGGGACAGGGCTGGGGGGACAGGCCTGTGGTGAGAGGGCTGAGGGACAGGGCTGGGGGACAGGGCTGGGGGACAGGGCTGAGGGACAGGGCTGGGGGTCAGGGCTGGGGGATAGGGCTGGGGGTCAGGGCTGGGGGATAGGGCTGAGGGACAGGGCTGGGGGACAGGCCTGTGGTGAGAGGGCTGAGGGACAGGGCTGGGGGACAGGGCTGGGGGACAGGGCTGAGGGACAGGGCTGGGGGACAGGCCTGTGGTGAGAGGGCTGAGGGACAGGGCTGGGGGACAGGGCTGGGGGTCAGGGCTGAGGGATAGGGCTGGAGGACAGGGCTTAGGGACGTAGCTGGGGGAC